AGACCATAATGTTGTTCAAATTATAATGTGTTCTAAGTACTAGAAGAGTCGTGGTAGCTCAAATGGTTAGCGCTCGCGGTAATTTTCACAGTACGCAAACAACCCGGGTTCGATCCCCGCCGGCACGCAATTCAATTTTAAGTGCTGATTTACCAAGTGCTCGGCGGTGAAATAAAACATCGTGAGGAAAACTGCATGTCTGAGAAATGAGAAAGAAAAATATTACTTTAAAGAAGACATGTGAACCTTTCTTCCCCATCGGTTGTTGTTTCTTCGAGCTATATGGCCGGTTCACTGCCACTTCAGCTTACTAATCCGTTGGGCTATGATATACTCATTTCTAAGTTTATCACGCAGAGAAACCCCGAGCATAGCCCTCTCCATAACTCGCTGAGCGACCTTGAGCTTCCTTATACGGCCAGCAGTGAAGGACCACGTCTCAGATCCGTAAGTCATCACTGGCAACACGCACTGGTTGTACAATTTCGTTTTAAGGTTTTTAGGTACGTCTGACGAAAAGATGTGTCGTAGTTTTCCGAACGCTGCCCAGCCGAGTTGAATCCGTCGATTGACCTCTCGATCGAAGTTGGACTTACCAAGTCGGACTATTTGTCCCAGGTAAACATACTCGTCAACAACTTCGAGCTTAGTGCTCCCAACAACTACTGGCATAGGTGTGACATGGACATTAAACATGATCTTTGTTTTGTCCATGTTCATCCTAAGACCTATTCATTGGGAGACACTATTGAGGTCATTGAACATGGTGCTTATGTCCTCCACCAACTCTGCCATAAGGACTATATCGTCGGCAAATCGAAGTTGAGTGATGTACTCGCTATTGATGTTAATACCGTATCATTTTCAGTCCAGTAGCTTGAAAACATCTTCCAATACAGCGGTGAAGAGTTTCGAGGATATAACATCACCCTGTCTTACACCTCTCTGTAATTGGTTTCGTACTCTGGTTCTGTACTCGGATAGCCATCGTAGCTCTATTGTACAAACACTTCAGCACTTCGATATACCGACAGTCAACTTGGCACCGCTGAAGGGACTGCAGCACCGCCCAAATTTTGACGGAATCAAAGGCTTTCTCATAGTCCACATACGCCAGATATTGTGGCAAATTGTATTCCTCTGACTTTTGTACAATTTGTCGAAGGGTATGTATGTGATCAATGGTGCTAAAGCCCTTTCGGAAACCGGCTTGTTCGGGAGGCTGGAAGTCGTCAAGTCTGCGTGCGAGACGATTCGTAATGACTCTCGAAAACAGCACGTAGACGCGGCTCTGAAGGGAAATCCGTCTGTAGTTCTTTAAGAGAGCGTTGTCACCTTTCTTAAAGAACAAGACCACCGCACCGCACAATGCCACCATGGAGGACGGAATTAAAGAGCTTCTGAAGGATTTCAAGTACCGGTCTTTCACCCGCTTTCAGAAGCTCCGCTGTAATTCCATCCTCGCCTGGTGCCTTGCTGTTTTTAAGGTGCTGGAGAGCCAATAAGCCAGAGCCAAATAAAAATATATAAAATACTGCAACAAAATCAATACCTTAAGACCCAAAATTTGTAGGTACATTCTTAAGATATTTTCCTTTAACAAAAATCTTGCAAAATATTCATAAGTGGAAAAAATCTCGTCTTTTACGGACTACGCTAGAAATAATAGTTTGTGTCGAAGTATGTAGTAGGAAAGAATGCTTAAAACAATTTTTTGAAGAATTGTGGAAGTAACCGAGAGAGCTCTTTAAAATTCTTTTGTAGGACCTTTAATTTATGTTCTTGGTTTCAAATAATGAAAATTTTAGTTCTAAATAGGAAAAAAATCTGTTAGACGAATGCATTTTTATTTTCAATTCATAATTACTTCTAATATAGCATTTAATATCAGTTATATTTGGAACTTACAAACTTATTTATATTTACCACGGGGAGTGCTCTGAGGAATTGTTCGGAATAACTCCTGCAAAATTTCACCACAGCACACCGCGACAAATGTCACGATACTATCCACATAATTTGAAAGCTCGGCAGTCCACCACTTTGCATTTTACTAGAAATTTTTTCCTAGTACGGCCTCCTTTTGGAATCGTTTATCACCGATAATTTTTCCGGATCGATACGACTTATGACTTACTTAGACAAGGAAATAGCTTACTTCTTTCTAAAAGGCCTGAAACGCAGCTGCGAGTACCCTGTTGTAGTAGTTGTTCATGGGCGGCGGTAGTCACTTACCATTAGGTGATCAGCATGCTCGTTTGCCCCCTCTTCTACAAAAAAAACATTAAAAAATCAATACAGTGAAAAAATAAACTAAACTAAACAAAATAACAAAAAAATCACTGCAGTGACAGTTATATTACTTAAGCGATAGAAATGAGTAATGTAACAGGGCAAGTAAATGTCCTTCGTGTTGCGCCAATGTGCATTGGCGGACTTCTCATCATGATGTTTTAATTCACGGGACAAAATAAGCACTTAAAGTTGCAAGCAAACAACTGCATTAGTGCTACTTTTTCACGTATTCTAATATTTTAGGTGAGCGCTCAGCACACCCCCACCTACTTAGCTACCACGGCTACACAGTTTTAAGCCGACATTGTAGTATTTGTTTTTAACATCTGTCAATCCACCAAAATGTTAAAATTGAACTAAACAAAATAATTTATCAAATTGAACTACTATAAGTATTATTGAAAATAATAACAATCATGATTATGATCTCGGTGAAATAAAATCGTAAACACTCCAAAAATTCAATATTGAAATAGTAATATTTTATAAGTTTATGTAGAAAACACAACATTTATAAAAATATTTTTTTATAACTAAATCGAAAATCTGAAGCTCTCTAAACTAACAAAACATGTTTGTCCGTTGTTTGTTCTAAAATTCTCGCAGCTTAAGTACTAATACGTTCGAAAATTTGGAGGGTTGAGGTTTATATACACACAGTACTTTTAAGACGGCTTAAATCTTCATAATACCTTTTAATAAATCTGTAGAAAAATACATACATAAACACTCACGCCTGTCACCCAGAGGGGTAGGCAGAGACTACGGACTTCCATTTGGCGCGATCCTGACACACCTCTCTCGCCTCTTTTACATCCATATATCTACGCATACACGCTCGTCGGTTAAGGGTACTCCTAATATGGCCCATTTTTAATGTATCGCCGATTTGGTCGATAAATCTTCGTCTAGGGCATCCCTTCCCGACCCTGCCGTTCACTTCCGCAACATACGCAAAATACGTCTGTGTAAATTCTAACATTTGTTGGAAAAAGCAAATCCAGGGACTATATATACAATATACTGAAGCGAAATTAGTGTTTTTAGAATTGAATAAATTCCATTACGTATTAGTAAGTAGTTAAATAATATTAATAAGTTCCATTCGTACTTTCTGCAGTTATTAGTAACCAAGATGTTGCGTATAACTTGCTTATTAGTAATTCGGCAAGAGATGGCAAAAAGGAATTTTATCGACCAAATTAGCGAATATTAAAGATGGGCCAAATTAAGACTACCAGCCTACTACGGACAGGCTGGTTTTATGTTTTTTTTTTGCAGTTATTACACTAGGGGAATTGCAGATGCGTTGCCGGCCTTTTAAAAAGGAGAAGGCTCTTTTCTTGAAGGTTCCTAAGTCGTATCGGTTATGTTAACAAAAAGGGTGACAAACGAGCAAATAACCCACCTGAAGGTAAATGTATGATGTGCCCCATACATATTTACATTAAAATTAAGAATCAAAATGCAAATGCGTTGTTATTCCTGAGTACAAAAATGGAATTCCACGTTTCCAGTAAAAAGGGTATGTATGTAAATGGTTCAAAATGTAAAATTGATTTTTATATTATGATGTCAGAATTTATTTTCAAATGTTGTTACAATTTACATAGATAATAGCTTCATCCATCTCAAATGTAGTTTTTTTTTATGATGGTTTATTAATAATTGATATTATTCTACCTTTACTTTAATAACAAACCAAGATTGGAAAATGAAATAAAAGGAACTAGAGTTAACTAAATTGATTAAAATAATTTATTTATACATTTAATATTTAACATTATAACAGTACGCGTACATTACTGGTTCTATTATAAATAGCAATTGATTTAATATTAATAAATTAATAATTGATATTCAGGTACAACATATAAACTATAATACTATGTTATTTTAGTACGCTGTACTCTATATTCTCCTAAGCAAATACAGCTTTAGATAATATTTTCAACCACAAATGTGTAGAATATACAACTATTATTAATTTACATTTACCATATATTAAATTATTGTCTTCAGTTTGGTAATTACAACTAATATTATAATTATTAAACATAGCAGCCTCTCACATTACTAGAATGTAAGTCTAGAACGAACTCAATCATCTGTACGATATTTTGTAATATACGTATCCTTTGATGTTGTTGGCGTATTCTATAACTCGTACATGTATGTAGAATTATATAGAGTACATTGATTAGATTACGCATAGTTAAACGAAACTGAAACTTGAAACAAAGTTTGTCAGATAATATCTACCTTAGTTTTTACTTTTATATATGAATGGGAACATACGGAAAGTGTCTACAAGGAATTTATATGCGCGCAACTGCTTAAACTTCTGAAAGAATATTTTAGTCTTAAAGATTACCGAGTGCTTTTGAAAGTTTCTTGAAGTTCTGAAGATTTTCGTTATCTATTCCGGAATTTCTAGAAGAATCCATATAGTTTTAAAAATTCACCAATATATTTATAGTAGCTACTTATTAACACATATTTTTTGGAAAAACGTGTCCGTGGAATTTTACATGTTGTAACAGTAATGGATAATGTTGTTTTAAATGTGTTGTATTGCATGCGGGCCGTACTGAAAGCGTTTGGCTGGCAAGGTCTTGCATTTTTCTCCAAAATTCTGAGTTACATTGATAAAGAAAGCAAATACTAATTGAGGTGAATACGTTTCTCCTGTCTGATCCAGGCAAATGAAGGTTAAAAATTCACCGAGAATTCATCTAAAATTGCTTAATGTGTAAGTCAACTCATAATTTTTAATTTAATACATATTTTCTAGTAAGTAAATTCCAATTGATTATTTGTTATTGGCTAAGTGATTATTTGTATAACTAGCTGACACCCGCTCACTGGGCGCACGATAATATTTTATTGCGAAACCTATTAAATTTTTTAACTATCGTGAAATCCGTACTTAGTAAGCGTTTACATTGTGAAATGAGTAACTTTACTAAATTTTGAGTGTATAGTTTCAAACATCCCGTGATGAATCAGATATATACACTCAAAATTATTATATATATAAATAAATAAATAAATAAATATATATATATACGAGAAATACCACTCACTGACTGAAGGACCCACTGAAATAATATGCTCGCCAAGTTTTTTTTATTTATTTGGGATAACAAACAGTAGTACAATGAGTATTACCAAGAATATAAATTTAATTTATAAATTGACTGGATAAGTGTAAGTTTTGCTAAGTACAAACAAAACAAACTTATGCAAATTTTTATACATAATATAAGTAACATATTATAAAAATGACAAGGAAAAAATAACATATATTTTTTTAGTGCAGCAATAGTTGTTTTTTTGGCCTTGGGTAGAGATGTTGCAAAAAATATCTATATCTAAAAAGTTATCATTATATACCGACATCAACCGTCGCAGTGACATGCGTTTGCCGGCATTAGTACGGCAAGCACTAATGGCGAATACACATCGTCGGCGTATACTTCGTAAGTTAATATGGCGAGGTACTAACCCACTTGTTACTACCGTCCTTTATAACGCCACTAATTGAATGATAAATGTACCTGCCAAATTTACATGTTCAGTATTGTATAAACAAAGATCGTCTTACATTACCGTCATCAGAACAGGTCCGTCTTTAATGTGCACCTACTATTTGTCACAGTGCGTCCATTATTTTGAAGTTAAGACGTGTTTTTAATTAACAGTGTGATTGCTTTGAAAAAGACAAGTTTTTTAAATATACTTATAAAGTTTTAAACACTACAACGTAGGATCCTGTAAAGAACTGTTATTTTAATATGAATATAACATAAAATAAACTTGAATTTCACGGTTTTGCATGAAAATTATCTTATGTTAAAACTTGTGGCGTTATAACGCCCGGTAGTAAAATTGACGTCTATTTATTATTACTATTATGTTTTAGATTACTGACGAAACGACCTTTGAATCTCAACGACATAGTTGATGCATTACACAATATAGATTCTGATGACGATCTGCCCAGTGAAATTACCATTTTTCCACCGGAAGATCCAAATAACGAAATAACAGACGAAGATTCTGGTAATGAAGAATTTGTGACATTACATAATCTCCCAGGTTTGGTTATTTCTTTTGAGCATATTACGAAATTCATTTCAGTCACTGAACTCACAATCAATTGTATAATATATTTATTACTTTTCAGGTTCTCTGCTAAGAGCTCCAGCAGAGATTACTTATGATGATACGTTTTCAGACAGTGACGATTCTGAAAATGATTTATCTTTGCCTGTGTTAACAAAAAGAATACGAAATGCCAATGAATGCTTGCCAGAAGATATGGATCAACAGATATCTTCTACTTCTTGCTCCACTCCATCTATAAGCTGTTCATCGAGGAACGTCACTCTTAGTGCAAGCAAAACCCAATAGTATACGTGGCGCAACAGGCAGAATCCAAGTGAATTTACACAGTGGCAGGATCGTGAGGGCCCAAAAAATCTACTGTCATCTTTGTACTACTATGAGTGCATGGTGAATAATGAAGTAATCGAAATTTTGGTACATTACTCTAATCTTTACGCAAGCCAAAGGAATGTCATCGCTAATATAACTACTTCAGGAATGAAGTGTTTTTTGGGTATACTTTTATACAGCGATTATGTTGTGGTACCACGCAGGTATATGTATTGGGAGAAATCTACTGATACTCACTTTGATGTTGTTTATAATGCCATGTCTAAGGATCGTTTTACAATGATAATGAATCACTTACATTGCTGTGACAACAATGTCATTCGTACAGATTTTTTGCGAAACTTAGGCCTTTGTTTGATTTACTAAATAAAATTTTCTCAGACATGGCACGTTTTGAACAAAACTATAGTATTTACGAAGCTATGGTACCATACTATGGAGGCCATAGTTGCAAACAATTTATACGCGGGAAACCAATCAGATGGGGGTATAAACTGTGGGTAGGTGCAACTAGGTTGGGGTATGTTTTTTGGTTTGAGCCATACCAGGGACATTCTTCGAATATCCTAGCATGCAATAAACAATTTGGATTAGGGGCAAGTGTAATTTTGAGCATTGATGATGTTTTACAATCGTGCTATCCAAACACTCCATTTCATTTATTTTTGATAACTTTTTTTCTTCTATCCCTCTTTTTCACGAATTGAGTAATAGAGGATTGAAAGCTACAGGAACTATTCGTGAGAATCGTACCTCTAGATGCTCACTACCTGAAAACAAGGTTTTTAAAATAACAGAAAGCGGCACATTCTTCTATAAGTCTAGTCAACCCAAGCAGATCTTAGTCTGCAAATGGAATGACAATAGTGTCTTAAGTGTCGCCTCTAATGCGGAAACAAGCCGAGCCAAACTGAGCCGCTTCACAAAACCAAGCGATTTTCTCAGCAATTGAAAAGATATGTGTTAATTGATCAACCTGCTATCATAAAATCATACAACAAAAATATGGGTGGAGTCGATAGAACTGACCAAAATATTGGCTTATACTTATAGAACTTCGATCCGGGGAAAAATTGTATTTTTTTTTATAGGATAAGGGTGAAAAACGAGCACACAGTCCATCTGATGGTAAGTGGTTGCTGCAGCCTATAGATATCTACATCGTTTGCGAATCAAAATGCATATGCGTTGTCACCCGTGAGGACTAAGATGGAATGCCTCATTCCCAGTAAAATGGCTCTACCACTGTTATTTTGTCATAGCTTGGATATGGCTACACACAATGCCTGGCAGTTGTACAAAAGTGATGGTGGGGAATACGAACACTTAACTTTTCGTAGAGTAGTTGCCAGAGGATTATTGGAGACGTATAAAAGAACCGAAAAACGGGGACCTTGCCGTACTCCCAGCAACCATAGAGAAACCTCGCGATACGATCACATTGATCATCTAATTGAATATGAAGAATCTCAAAGCCGCTGCACTATTTGTAAAAAAAAAAATTCATTTGTCGTAAATGTCAGCTGTATTTACACCCAAAAAATGTTTTATTTCCTATCATATCAAAGTTTCTTTTATAGGATAAGGGTGACAAACGAGCACACAGTCCACCTGATGGTAAGTGGTTGCTGCGGCCCATGGACATCTACATCTATCTAATACAAATCAAAATGTAGATGCGTTGTCACCCGTGAGGACTAAGATGGAATGCCTCATTTCCAGTAAAAACGGCCTCCGGCCACCTGCACTCACCAAGCGAAACGCAGAGGTAAACCTCTACTTCAAGCTGGTTTTCTGTGAGGTCGTGGTACCACCCCGGTTCGAGCCGGCCCATCCGTGTGACAACAAAAGATGCCGCGTGGCTCTACCACTGTTAAAAGTTTAGATTCTTGGCAAATAAACCATTGTAAGCATATGTTTTGTGTTTTATTTAATTCCAAAAATGTTTTACTTTTAGTAGCCGATCTTACTACCGGACGTTATAACGCCACTCGTTTTCCGGATTTTCCGGACCACGAATATTTTTTTTAAATATTTTTTCATGAATACTACATCATTTTGGTACAAAATATTAAAAAATCTGTTAATTCTGAAACAAAAAAAAGTTTCAGTAATATCTGGATTAATCCTATCTGGCTGAAAGGCGCTGGGCAATCAAATTTTTTATGACAAATATTAAACAAAAACATAGCCTGCAATAATGAACGTCTGTGACTAAGTTATATTTAACACAAAGTTTATCATATGAAAAACGTTCAAAAAAACGTTCTTTGAACTCTTTCTATTGTTTCACCATATTTTGCATAGTAGCGGTCCCATATAATACAAGTATACTCTAATTGCGGCTCAATCAAGGACTTAAGCATATACAAATGTGTTGGAGGCTTTTTAAATTTGTTTGATGAGTTCATGACAAGACCCATAAATTTGATATGCTTTACTTACAGTTTTTTCTAAATGTAAATCGAAGTGGAGCTTTTAGTCCAAAATTACACCAACTTCTCGAACAAAAGAGTTTATATGCAATAGTTTGTCGGAGAGGGTATAGTTGAATTTAACCATTTTTTTATTTTTAGTAAAAGATATTGTAAGACAATTTGGGATACTAAGATAAAGTTTATTTTGTACACAGCACAAGCTTTAATTAATAAAATCTTCTTGAAATAGTAAACAATCGTTTTCATTTTTTATAGTTTTATAAACCTTCAGATTATCAGCATATAATAAAAATTTTGAGTGCTGAAAACATTCGTTTATGTCGCTTATAAAGAGGATGAAGAGCAACGGACTAAGGATAGCTCCTTGTAGCACACAATATGTTACTGTTATTGTTTTAGAGCAGTGGCCATATAAAACAACTGTCTGGGTTCTATTTAAAATATTTGAAGAAAACCATCTTAATAGATTGCCTCTTATTCCATTAAATGCTATTTTTTTAAGAAGTAGTTCCTGGTTTTGTCAAACGCTTTCTGGAAATTCGTGTAAACGGTATCTGTTTGTATTCGATTATCGATGTTAAAAAATAGCTTACTAACATAAAGCGCCAAGTTAGTTATAGTTGATCTTTGTTTAAGGAAGCCATGTTGCTCTGTTATGATAGTGTTATGAAGAATTAGGAAGATTTTATTATGTACTAATCTTTCACAAGGTTTTGATGCAGTAAATAAGATTGAAATTAGACGATAATTTTCGATGTTAAGTTTTGACCCATTTTTATGCACGGAAACGACGTTGGCACGCTTCCAGATATTAAAAAAAGTTCCCTCTCGCATGCATTTATTAAATTAATTATGCAGAGGCATATAAAAAAATATTGCGGGAAGGCCATTAGGCCCAGCTCCTTTAGAGGTGACTAAAGAATTTATAGAATTTTTTACCTTATCCGTATTAAAATAAGTTCATTTATCAGAACACCATTATCAGCAAAGTTAGTTGGTGGTGTCCACGTATCTAGACATAAAATTGAAGTTTCGTAAAGAGACTGAAAAAAGGAGGAGAACATGTTACAAATTTCACCAGGATCGCACGAAGAAGCCCTTAAAATCATATTTTAAGGAATACCTGTCTTACCTCTATTATGAGATACAAAAGTCCTAAAATATTTTAAATTATGAGGAACAGCATCCTCAAGTGATTCCAAATATTTACCATACGCTTTTTTACGCTGGTCACGAAATATTGATATAGAAAATGTTTCATAATCTGATATTTACTGTATATTTTTCCATTTAGCCCTTGCCTTATTTTTACTTTTAAGGATGTAAATTAAAGAAGGTGAAAACCACTTAGGATATTTTAGTGATCTTGATACAGATAATGGTATATTTTCTTTAACAATCCCACATATCATTTCGTATGACGTATTTGTGGCTTGTTTTAATGAGAGTGGGGAAAGTAATTGTTCCCAATTAATATTCTTCTGAAAATATGGTAAAAGTTTCATTTTTATAGCCGCCCATGAACCATTGCAAAAGGCAGTTGACGATTTCTGCTGAGCTAAACAGTCTAATAATTATAAAAATAAATTTTATAATGTATACAACTTCATGATGACACTATTACACCTTACGTTTATATGCGCTTTGAAACTGTCATTAAGAGATTTATGAACACCATTTGTCTTGCTTAGTACGGTAGATTAAAGACATAAATACATAGGTTAAAGACGGTTAAACGACTCCGTATTAACGGTTAGTCTCGTTTTATCTGCATAATAATCTGTTTATATAAACTTGGGGCGGTAGTGCCATGAGTAAGCGTTAATATGCAGCACTGCGGGCCGCAAATTTGAATCCAACACAGAGCAAGTATTTGTATTTGTATAGATTAAAAATAATTGTTGCGAATCTGGATTTTTAACCGATTTAAAAAATGAGGAGTTATTCCATTCGACTGCAATTTTTATGTGTGTTATCCCAGAACTTTTTTCTAGGTGAACGGATTGGTGAATTCTTTTTTATTTGAAAACTAGTGCTTCTCATGTGGTCCCATATAAATTTGATCAAGATCTGACCATTAGTTTTTGAGTTATCCTTAATAATAATGCATATGTAATTGACTTTGACTACATTGATTATGTTCTTATTTTATTTATATTGAAGGGAAAAAGAAATATGCAAGGCATTTATTGTAAAACAACTTTAGGATACGGAGAAAACTAGAATAGTTCCGATTTTGAATAATTATTAAAAGATGAAGTTTTCTTCTTATTTCGGCTCTTTTTGGATGGACCATTAGAAAAAGGAAGAGATTCCTAATTCGATCGTGTTTGTATGTATAGTACGAGATTTATATTTTCTTAATTTTATTTATACCTACAAACGATACGAGCGCGCTACGTTTTGAATAAAAATGAATAATGATTTTCTTATATTTACACAATACTTGAAATAGGTATTTTCCGAACTAGTGGTAAATAAAAAAATTACTTTCAATAAGTAATATGTAATAATCAA